TACCACATGGACCCACTATTAGGACAGTTATATTTACCACATGGACCCACTATTAGGACAGTTATATTTACCACATGGACCCACTATTAGGTCAGTTTTAAATACCACCTGGCCCCACTATTACATAATGCAAAAACATGGCGGCTGAAATGAACTTTACATGCATCTTCTTTGCGTGGTCAGTATTTTGCACCCTTCCATTGACTCAATGTTAAAGCAAATGTGATGGTGTGAAATTAACAACTTGTCTCAACCAATCAGATTACAGGATTTTCACTAGAGATATAACAAAATATATATACCACATGGACCCACTCCTTCTGTTCTATGCCCATCTGCTTCCATCGTTTTGGACTGATTTCTAATAGGCTTGCGATATTTCCATGGTAGCTTCTGTGAAAAATAATTAGTGTCAATCATCGTTAGTACTGGCTACATAGTACAGGAGTAAATAGTAACAAGTGACTAACTAACATGGTAGACAATGGCAATACAAAATATGTCCTATATCCATTAATCTATTTATACATTAGTTTGTGTCAAGGCAAATACTGCAATAATATTTAACAAGTGTCAATCTGAAACAGGAATACATTCAAAAACTGTTTGACACCCTTCCAGTTTAAACAACAATAGGCCTAGAGGGCATGTATCAATCATTTATACATGTGCATTTGGTTATAGCAGCCCTGTGACTAAAGAATATAGGCATTGGCCCTGGAACTAAGTCCCCCACCCCAGCTGGATGGGGCCAGACCCTGGAGTTTTTCATGTTAGCATGATTACATTCCTTTCGCCATGCCCAACTAGCAGTTATATGATTATAGGTTGTTAATCTCAACCATTGTTAAGCTATGGCCCAGGAATTAAGTCTTTCAGGTGCAGGGCTAGACCCTGGAACCAATCCTGGAGTGTATTCTTCCCTTCATGCCTAGCAATTGCATATATGTTAATAGAATGGAGATATCAGCTATTTCCATGTTCCTCTTTTAATACAAAATATGAATTCCCATAGCTCAACAATGAAGCTCTTTACAGAATTTCTTTACTAGTAATACTGCAGGACAAGGATTTTATAGATTTACCTTTATTCCCCCCTTGTTAGTCCCCACTCCTTTGCCCCATGAGGAGTTTAATTTGGGCACTCTGTTGACACATAGATGAACCCCCTTGTCCCAACAATACTTCCGACCAAGTTTAGTCTAAATCTACACAGTGGTTCTGGACTAGACAGGGTTTTAAAGGAAAGTTGAAGGATGAGATTGGCTGCTCCAAGGGTATAAGCTCATTTGACCCTTCATAATAATAATAATAATAATATACAACATTTATATAGCGCCCTACATAATTTGTAAAATAACTCTAAGGCGCTTTACAACATATGGATAATAGTAATGGTTATAATTGTGAAAACAAACAACAAAGGCTTGCAATCACTTTCATACATTTAACAAGCAATGTGCACATAATTGAACAAATAAAAGGGTGGTATTTACATGACGTCTTTGCAAAGATTCTAAAATGCAGACGTGAAAAGGTGAGTTTTTATGTCCCTCTTGAACTTGGCCAGGGTATTTGACTTCCTAATAGCAGATGGTAAGCTATTCCACAACGTAGCCGAAACCCTCCCAAAGCATCTGTTTCCGTAGGTCACAGTACGAGATTTTGGGACACACAACAAAGATTCTGACTCCGACCGCAGTGATCTTGACGGCTGATACAGGGTAACAAGTTCCTGTAGGTACTGAGGAGCTGTTCCATTCAGTGCCTTGTATGTGTATACCAGAATTTTGTACTGCGACCTGTATCGTACAGGTAACCAGTGCAACGAATAAAGCGCAGGTGTGATGTGCTCTCTCTTTCGAGTACGAGTAACTAGCCGTGCTGCAGTGTTCTGAACCCTCTGCAGACGACTAGTTAGTTTGTCAGATATACCACAGAGCAGGGCGTTACCATAATCCAACCGAGAGGTAACAAGTGAATGCACCAAAATCTTGCATGCATCTGCAGTTAGAAACTGCCGAATACAGCCGATGTTCCTGATCTGGTAGTAACAGGATTTGGCAATAGCGTTCACTTGTTTCTCCATGTTCAGAGAACTGTCAAAGTATACCCCTAGGTTTTTAACAGCTGGAACAGTCTCAATAGTTCTGGCACCAACCTTGAGCTGGAGAGCCATTGTTTGCTGACACTTTGGGGAAAAGACGATTAGTTCCGTCTTTTCCTGATTAAGTTTAAGCATGTTGGCGTTCATCCAGATACTGATATCTGTCAGACAAGCTTCCAGACTTTCTGAGACTGTATTCCAACTGTCCTGTGGTTTTATGACCATGTAAATTTGTGTGTCATCAGCATAGCAATGATAGCGAAGGCTATGGCGACGACAAATCTCTCCAATCGGTTTGGAGTACATACAATATTTTCGTGGTCCTAACACCGACCCTTGAGGAACCCCGAAATCTAGTACTTTTTCATGTGAGGTGGCAGATTTGATGGCAAAACACTGTCGTCGTTCACTCAGGTATGACTGTATCCAGCATAGTGCGGTATCAGTCACTCCATAAGAGTATTCCAGACGTTTATAAAGTATGCCATGGTCGATGACGTCAAATGCAGCTGACAAGTCCAGCATGACAAGCACCGCTCTGCACTTGTTATCCAATGCAGAAGCTATATCACTATGTACACGTAGGAGGGCCGTCTCAGTAGAGTGTCCCATGCGGTAGGCCGATTGCATGTTGTCATGGAGACTGTTTGCATGGAGATGAACCTCTAAACGCCGGGACACAACCTTCTCCAAGATCTTAGACAGAAAAGGCAGATTTGAAACTGGGCGGTAGTTTTTCAACTCCTCCTTGTCCATTCCAGGCTTTTTTAACAATGGTCTGACATGTGCCTTCTTGAAACATAATGGAACCTTTGACTCAACCAATGATTTCTTCATGATTGCGGTAATCAAAGAAAGCAGTGCTTCAAGACATTGCTTTAATAAGTCTGTAGGCAGTGGATCAAGCTCACAGGACTTCGATTGCAAGGTCATGATAATGTTGCGCAACTCGTCCTGAGTTGTTGGTGAGAGCTTTGTCAATGGTTCACCATCAAATGCAATGTCAGCAGTCATGACAGAGTTGTCAATGTCAGCAGTCATGACAGAGTTGTCAATGTCAGCAGTCATGACAGAGTTGTCAATGTCAGTAGAGGTGTTCACTTCGGTGATATTTTTCCTGATTGAGCTGATTTTATTCAGAAAGTAATCACTGAACTTGCTTGCCAAGTCTTTTTCAGAATTATAGCTTGGTAGGATAATTTCACCTTTCTATCCCATTAGGTTTTTGGTGAGTCTAAAAGGTTGTCTTTTATCCTTGCCACATTCTTCAATTTTTTCCATATAATAATCCTTCTTTGACTGAAAGAGCAGTGAACCAACTAGCTGACATTGCTCTCTATAAATCAGTTGGTGAACGGTTAATTTGGTCCGTCGCCACTGTCTCTCTGCTGGTCTACGTTTCTGTTTTTCCACGCGGAGATTTTCGTTATACCACGGGGCATTTGGTCTCACAGTTATCACCTTAGTTTGCAGATGTGCGTGTTTCTCTATAAGGGCTTCTATACCAAATGTGCATGCTTCAACAAGATCATCAACCTCGCCTTCAGTAGATTGAAGGGCGGAACAAGACTGAATGTCATTGTTGAAATCTGGTATTGAAATTTCGAGGAATTTCCGGAAGCTCACTTCTTTCCTTGCACGAGCTGGCTTACTACAATTCAGTGTTGTGTGGACAGCAAAATGATCACCAGATTGGTTTCCCTTATCACTTAGACATGGATCAATCACTGAAATAGCTCCATGAATGACTGAGTTATCTTCCCTCGTTATGACCACATCCAGTGTGTGGCCATGGGTGTGTGTAGCTTCTGTCACATGCTGAATCAGACCCCTGGAATCTAGTATACCAGAGAACTGGCGAGCATCAACATTAGATAGATCGTCTAAGTGGAAATTTAGATCACCCGTGATAATAATCTCTTGTGGTACCACAACTTGGTGGTCTAAAAAGGTAGACCATTCATCAAAAAACACTGTATTTCGGAAAGCATTCTGTTTAGATGGTGGAGGCCTGTAAATGATACACAATCTAAATTGTTTATCACCAGCAATGACAGAACAAGTCACGTGCTCAAAGTGTGTGTATACAGCATCATGGCTGGAAGAGAGATGTCTCACACTTGGGCCTTTCTTAAACAGAACAGCCACCCCACCACCACGTTTGCCGAGTCTAGCATTGTGGTGGAATTCATAGCCTGTTGGTATTAGCTCAGCTAAGACCTGGTCATCGATATCTGAACCTAACCAGGTTTCTGTCAATGTCCTGAGATGTTACAAAATCCCCAATGGACAATGACTAAGATTAGATAAAGATTAATAGAATCTGTCATCCCCTTCGGGGTGAGATTGAAGAATCTCAACCCGAAGGGGAAGATTTTTAAGTTGCCAAACACGAGACTTTGCTGACTGTTTGGCAACTTGTGAGTCTTTCCCCGAGGGTTGAGATTCCCCTATCTCACCCACAAGGGGGCGTTGATTCTTTTTCTCTTACCCTGTTCACTCATTGTGTATCATATACAAAATGTAATGTCAACATCACAGGCTAAATTCAGGGTTGACGTGACCTCATTGTATTTTTAAAGTTATGTCATACCTTTGTAATGAATAGGGGAATCCCCCTGTCTCAAGCCTAGGGTGAGACAAGGAAGTTTCACACTGGTAAAAGTGCAGATACACCCTGTCCAGGGTAAGAGAAAAGAGGTTTAAATACATCAAAAGCAAATATTAGTTTTCACATGTAACTTACTTCTCAACCACCATCACATCATCATGCTTTGTGTAGCTTCGTGCAAGCCGCAGAGCTAAATCGTTAGCCTCAGATCTAGGAATGAAACACAGAATAGATCACTTTATGTATGCATCCTGTGTAAAATGAAATAAAAGTACAAAATTGATTATTAAATATTGATATGATTTTCAGGCTCAATAGTTTGATAAACAGGTAAGATGATAACTTCACTATCTATTATAACATCATGAAATACCTTCTTTGATGTTATTATATAATAATGAATTAAATATATATTTCTTCCAAACCTGCTTTTTTTCATTTCATTTACTATACGTGCACATGTGTGTGTACATGTGATGTATAGGTGTGTGCTTACAATTGTCACTCTCCCACATAACTACATTAATTGTGCACACCATGTAACTACATGTTATATATGTTAGCCTATGTTTTGTAAGGTTTACAGAGCTGACCTCTACAATACTCACCCCGAGTTGACAAAGAAGCAGACACACAGTTTATCGGGCAGTGTCTCCACTATCCGTTTAGCATAGTCTACCATTGTGTCATTGAGGAATCCAGCACTTGTGGTCATCCTGGCCATCTGCTCTTGTCCGGCGTGGACCACATGGGGATGACAGTGACCCACTGAAAAGTCACACAGTGTTCACCGAGTCAGGAGAATTATCACTTTAAAAATCTTACACTTTAATCCATACATACATGGATATCAAAATCATCGTAATTTATCATCATTTAAATCCTGAACATCAAGATCATGAATAGCAATATGAAAGGAAAAGATAACACTTTGCATATTAAATTAAGATGCTCATGGGCCTTAACAATCACTTGAGAAGTACTATGCTTTAGTTATTTCTTGTCGTTGAAACATTGTTATATACAATAATGTATAGGTAGACAGATGACAACTAATTCATTCTTTAACAATGTGATCATGAAAATTCGATTTCATTCTTTAAATCTGTGACAGTAATTAAATGTTTGTATACTATCCAAGTGTGTGAAAATACATCAAAGAATATGGCAGTGACAAGGTACCTTGTGTTGTCACTTGTGAACTTTAACAAGGATTACAAACCGTGTGAGACAATGCTGATACAATCTAGGTACTCTGCTCCGGAATCATCATACATGTACTGACGTGACGCTCTAACTATCTTCAGAGGAGACGCCTCAAAATGCAGCTTACATGTCCTCCTTTAAAAGTAAGAAAATGAAAGGGTAATGTATATATACCTTGTGAAACATATCCCTCAGGCAGTGTTATTTACTTCTATTGTTCAACCTGGGCCTGCATCTTATTAACCAGGGTTACACCGAAAGCTCACTTAAATCTTAGTCCTTTCCAAACTGATCTCCTCTTCTACCCCGTATACAGGTGTTCTTCTGAAAGGTATCTAAATAAGGTATCAGTCTGAACGTAATCTACAGGTATCCTTCTTAACGTTATCTACAGGTATCGATCTGAACGTAATCTACAGGTATCCGTCTGAACGTAATCTAAAATCTACAGATATCCTTCTGAACGTAATCTACAGGTATCCTTCTGAACGTAATCTACAGGTATCCATCTGAACGTAATCTACAGGTATCCGTCTGAACGTAATCTAAAATCTACAGGTATCCTTCTGAACGTAACCTACAGGTATCCTTCTTAACGTAATCTACAGGTATCCGTCCGAACGTAATCTACAGGTATCCGTCTGAACGTAATCTACAGGTATCCTTCTGAATGTTATCTACAGGTATCCGTCTGAATGTTCTACAGGTATCCATCTGAAAGTAATCTACAGAGTACAGGTATCCGTCTGAACGAAATCTACAGGTATCCTTCTGAACGTAATGTACAGGTTTCTGTCTGAACGTAATCTACAGGTATCAGTCTGAACAAAATCTACAGGTATCTGTCTGTATGTAATCTACAGGTATCCGTCTTAACGTAATCTACAGGTATCCTTCTGAACGTAATCTACAGGTATCCTTCTGAACGTAATCTACAGGTATCCGTCTGAACGTAATCTACAGGTATCCGTTTGAACGTAATCTACAGGTATCCGTCTGAACGTAATCTACAGGTTTCCTTCTGAACATAATCTACAGAGTACAGGTATCCGTCTGAACGAAATCTACAGGTATCCTTCTGAACGTAATCTACAGGTTTCCTTCTGAACGTAATCTACAGAGTACAGGTATCCGTCTGAACGAAATCTACAGGTTTCCTTCTGAACGTAATCTACAGGTATTCTGTCTGAATGTAATCTACAGGTATCCGTCTGAACGAAATCTACAGATATCCTTCTGAACGTAATCTACAGGTTTCCTTCTGAACGTAATCTACAGGTATCCGTCTGAATGTAATTTACAGGTATCCGTCTGAACGTAGTCTACAGGTAACATCTGGATCTGAAAGGTACAACATACAATATTGAAGTTTTACTTTATACACAAACAATGAACATATAAAACGTGTCGCAACATTTCAAGATTGACTGGTCCCTTTTAGCTTAACAAAGGGACAAGTTGGTCTTAAAACGTTGGGACACGTTTAATATGTACATTATTTGTGCATATAAAAGTAAAACTTTGATATTATACAGGTATCTTTCTGAAAGGTATTTACATGTGTACTTTAGTAAGGTATCTATAAAACAAGGTCAAAGTATCATGGCTGTAGTATGCCTTTTGCTTTTTTAACATGTCTGACCCCATGCCATTTGAACATTAGGTAGGTTATAGGGGACATCTAGGTAAATATGTACACTTTGCAAATGATGACTGCTAATACACGCTCCTTGGTACATTTAATCAACATGCTGTGTGCGAACTATCATATATATCATCTATGAACATATTTCGTCAGAATGAAAGCCCCTTTCTGTCGCTATTTTTAGTTATGCTTTTGATTGGTCGGTAATAAAAACCCTAAAATATGAACCAAAACACAGAATTTATAGGAATCGGATGTGATAAGGACATGTGTAGGGTAATTATGGACATGTGTAGGGTAATTACGGACATGTGCAGGGTAATTACGGACATGTGTAGGGTAATTACAGACATGTGTAGGGTAATTACAGACATGTGTAGCGTAAGCATGTGTAGGGTAATTACAGACATGTGTAGGGTAATACCAGACATGTGCAGGGTAATTACAAACATGTGCAGGGTAATTACAGACATGTGTAGGGTAATTACGGACATGTGTAGGGTAATTACGGACATGTGCAGGGTAATTACAGACATGTGTAGGGTAATTATGGACATGTGTAGGGTAATTACAGACATGTGTAGGGTAATTACGGACATGTGCAAGGTAATTACAAACATGTGCAGGGTAATTACGGACATGTGTAGGGTTATAACAGACATGTGTAGGGTAATTACGGACATGTGCAGGGTAATTACAGACATGTGTAGGGTAATTACGGACATGTGCAGGGTAATTACGGACATGTGCAGGGTAATTACGGACATGCTACTCTCATCATGCATATACCCAATCAAACCATAGAAACTGGTCAATGTTTCCTCAGTTGTTGTTAAATGCTCTGCTCCCAGTTAATGTTCTTTTCCTGTCGGCATACAACATACCGGGCAGTTGGTTAAAATAACTTACCACCCCTGTCATCGACTATTCGCAACGACATTCTTTGAGCGCCTGCATGCCACTATTTAGTTTTGTGATATTGAGGAGTCCAAAATGTAGTTTAACAATCTATTTAGGTGTATAATTGTGTTAATTCTGATATTAGATGTTTGCTTGTAAAAAGAAATCAACGTAAAAGCCTTTATTTAATAACCGAAGTCAAAAAGATATTTCTGTAAGAACCATCAAAATACCAATTAATTAATTAAATCTATCGGTATTTAAGCCCTGCGTCTTTGCCTCCAGGGAGGTTAGACACACCGTTTATACAAAATTGGTTCCCCTTCACCCAAAAATGCTTCATACCAAATTTGGACAAAATCCTGCCATTCGTACAGAAGAAGAAGATATTTGCTAAGTTTCCCCTATTGGGCCCCTCCCTTCTACCCCCGGGGGGCCACACTCGCTGTTTATACAAAATTGGTTCCCCTTTACCCAAGGATGATCCACACCAAATATGGACCAAATCCTTTCATTCCTACAGAATAAGGATTTTAAAGAATAATTTGCTATGTTTCCCCTATTTGGCCCCGCCCCTCAGGCCACTGAGGGGCCAAACCCACGGTTTATACAAAATTGAGTCCCTTTGGCCCAAGGATGCTTCAGACCAAATATCGAACAAATCTTTTTATTCCTACAAAAGAAGGATATTAAAGAATTTGCTATATTTCCCCTATTGGGCCCCGCCCCTCGGCCCCAAGGGGGGGGGGGGCACACCCACCATTTATACAAAATCGATTCCCTTTCACCCAAGGATGCTCCACCAAACATGGACCAAACCCGTTCATTCCTACAAAAGAAGAAGGATTTTAAAGAATAATTTGCTATGTTCCCCCTCTTGGGGCCCCGCCTCTCAGGCCCCTGGGGGACCAGACCCACGGTTTATACAAAATTGGTTTCCCTTCACGCAAGGATGCTGCAGACCAAATATGGAACAAATCCTTTCATTCCTACAGAAGAAGAAAGATTTTAAAGAATTTGCTATGTTTCCCTATTGGGCCCTGCCCCTCAGCCCCCAGGGGGACCACACCCACCGTTTATACAAAATTGAGTCCCCTTGGCCCATGGATGCGCCAGACTAAATAAGGATAAAATCCCTTAATCCCTACAGTAGAAGAAGGATTTTTAAGGTTTTACCTCTATTTCCCCTATTGGGCCCCGTTCCTCTGCCCCCAGGGGGGCCACACCCACCATTTATACAAAATTGAGTCCCCTTGGCCTAAGGATGCTCTAGACCAAATTTAGTCAAAATCTACTTGGTCGTTCAGGAATAGTAGCATTTTAAAGGAAGAGTTGACGGACGGACGACGGATGGACGATGGACGACAGACACTGCGGTATGGCATAAGCTCACCATGGTCCTTCGGACTAGGCGAGCTAATTCTCCCTCTCCTCTTTTTTCACCCTCTTTAAGTGCGACGCATTGTTTTAATTTTCATTAATTAGCATCCTCCGATGATGTGACATGAGCATTTATGCGCATAATGGCAATCGGTGAATGGATAATAAAGAATAGGTGCATTTTGTGCTTGTGAAATGAAGGACAATTAACAGTAGTGGGAAAACATGCATGGAGAAAAGAGACGTACTCCGTTTATTTTTATTTATTTTTTATTCATATAAATAATAATTATTAATATATGTAGTGACTTTGTTTACTGTCATTGAATATATAAAATCTCAGAAATGTTCCTGGAATATATTTGAATTATATTTCTCAATGCGACTTTACCAACATAAGAGTTATTTCCCTTACACTGGATTGGATAATATTTTGACACGGCACAAATTCTTGTCAAACAGAAGCGGCAGTTGTGTCATGTTCTTAAATTGTTACATTTTCATAAATAAATACACCAGAAAAAGCATGCTGTGTTACAGAAATGTTTGATAAACATACTGTACACAGTTCACATATTGTCTCGTCTCAGAGCCATTACCGTTATCAACCTAACTTCCTAAGCACGATATGTCATATTAGGTTCCCGTTTAAAACACCAATATAAAGGTTATACTTCATCACTCATACGGTTTATAAGTATATATATTTACTTCTTCCTTCTACAGACAGCGTCAGTGCTTGACAGTCTTCACATGTGCTTTCTCGAATCATATGTGTTTCACACGCGTAAACCTCCTTGAGACCTCAATCCGAGTTGCTAAAACGCTCAAACCCGGTGAACGAATTTCACCACCACAACACTTGTAGAATGCACCGGAGATAAACATTTGTTTTCAGCAACTATTTAAAGTATGGATCATTATTTGGAGAAGAGTATCAGAAGACTTTATGTAACCCACAGGTGAGTGTCAGAGATTCTACTTTCTATTTACGATAACGAAACTATATAGCGGAAGCATGCAAGACTGAATTATGCGCATGCACCCCGACTAGTAGCGTTTTAAAGGAAAAAGAACTTAAGAAATTCTTGAAGTTCAAAGTAAATGTAACTGGTACTATGCTGCCATCAGTATCCACTGGTACTCGCTCTGGTGACCGCGTCCATAGACTCAATGCTAGTGCTGCTAGCTTTGCACCATTGAGTCACTT